GGCGGGACCAGAGATAACATGAGATGTAACTACTAACAAATATCGTGCGATCCTGAATAAGACATATTCTAAGGGACACATGCCTATTTTATTATTCTCGTTTTGTTTACAAAATTATTTACATACATTAAAAAAGCTAAAATAATTTAACCATTTTATTGCAACTAAATTCCAAAACCTAATCATGTTTCCTTTCGTCTCCTCGCCGCGGACCTACATAGAGCGTATTGATTGTCGAATTAATCTTGGCATCGTGAATATTATATTTTATCAACGAATGGTTATATCTTTGTTATCTCTGGGCGGGACAGAGACACACGGCAGAGTCAATCAGATACAGTCAGAGACGAACAAACAGCATAGCAGCAGAGACAGGTAAAGGCAGGACGGAGACACACACGCAGAGATAAGACAGACAGGGAAGTAGAAGAGAAGTCGGATTACAGAGGATAACAAGAATTATTTTCTTTATATAATTTCTATGGTTAATGTGTTATAATACATTAGATCAGGGGTTCTCAAACTGTAGTACGCGTACCCCTTGGGGGTACGCGAAAATTTTCAGGGGGTACGCAGGAAAGTTAATGAAAAATTAAACCATTTTTATTTCTCTTTTGTAATCACAAAAAATTATAATTTATAATGGAATCTAATTGAATACTTGAGTGCTCGAGCACGGGCGTAGCCAGGGGGAGGGTTTTGGGGGTTTAAACCCTCCCCTAAATGTTAAGATATGAACATTATTAATATTAAAATAAGGAGAGGCGAGAGGCATAACTTATTACTAATTATGCATATGTAATCAAATTAACCTTTTGTTTTTTTTACTCTTTAATTTTTTCATATAATTAATACGGTTAGTTCATGCACTTTTAGAACTTTTATTTTCTTGAACCCTCCCCGATACTAAATCCTCGCTACGCCCGTGTGCTCCAGTTACGCAGACTAGAAGTGCGGCGGGTGAAATGGAGTGGGGTGTAGGCAGCGGGTCCTTGACTCAGATCAGTGTCAGTGCAGCGTTTCCTATTGTCCTGTTGTTGTTTTGTTTATCAGTTTCGTTCTCGTTGTTATTATAATTTCAAATCTGCTCAACAATTTAAGACTGTTGTTATCGGATTATCAGTTTGTGAACACTATTAGGATTGATGTGGGAATGTTAGTGTGAACAGTAAGAATGGATAATTGGCTCAAACGAAAAATATCTCATGAAGATCTTGACCAAAATCCTGGGCCATCAACGTCTCAAAATATAAGTAGGCCTGATTCTAATCTAGGCCTGTCCGTCCGAATGTAAAAATAAAAACCCTGAAAAAGTGGCACAGGGTGTAAATAAAAAAAGGAAGTATGACGAATCTAACTTAAAACTTGGATTTACTTGGACGGGAAGTTCAGACGAGCCTTCTCCACAATGCGTGGTTTGTTCAGAAGTATTATCCAAAAACTCTATGAAACCTTCTATATTGAAACACCATTTTGAAAGTAAACATGGAAATTTAGTAAATAAAGATTTAGAGTATTTTAAACGTCTTTTGGAAGATCTTCATAGTAGGAAAAGTGCTATAAAACATTTTTCTGGAGCAGACAAAAATGAAAAAGCTCTGAAAGCTTCTGGGAAAAACCACACCATTGGTGAAAACCTCATTCTCCCTGCTGCATTAGAAATAGTTTCTTGCATGTTTGGAGAAAAAGAGGCAAAAAGAATTAAAAATATACCATTGTCAAATGACACAGTTTCACGAAGAATCAATGACATGGCAAGCAACACAAAAGAGCAACTCGTGCTAGCAATACGAAAAATTCCGTGGTTTGGAATACAAATTGACGAAACGACAGACGTTGCTGGCTTAGCCCAATTGATATATTTTTGTGCGTGGAATCCGAGAGGATAAAGTATTTGAGGATCTTTTATTTTGCAAGCCACTAAATATTTCTACATCAAAACCAGGCCTCAAAAATCTCGTGAGTTTAGGATCCTTTGTCAAGATATGGGTAGTCTTCATGATACACTGAAGTTCGCTGGCTTTCACGTGGAAACGTCTTGGCCCGTGTGTTTGAGCTCCACAAAGAATTGGATCTTTTCTTCACAGAGCACAAGTCTAATTTATCATCAGTACTTAATGACTTTGATTGGCTTTTAAAATTGGCTTATCTGAGTGATATTTTTAAAAAACTCAACATATGGAATAAGTCTATGCAAGGGAGTGTTTCTGATATTTTCTATATTGAAAACAAAACAAATGCAATGTTAAAAAAAATAACACTGTGGAAAAATGAAATAGAAAACAACAACTGTAATGCTTTTGAAAAACGGAAAAAACATATCTGCTTTTGATGGCCTTAAAACTCAAATTGAGCGTCACCTCAGCTCATTGAAGGCCAGTATTAGAGAATACTTCCCACCCACGGATAAAAAGTTGGACTGGATTCGTGACCCCTTTTCGTTTGATGCCATTGAAACTTTGAGCAACCTAACAACATTCCAGAAGGAACAACTAATTAAACTATCATGTGATCAGACTTTGAGTGCTACTTTATTAGATTTTTGGATCGGTGTTGGAAAGGAGTACCAAGAATTTTCAAATAATGCTGTAAAAATTCTTATTGGATTTTCGACTACATACCTATGTGAAAGAGGGTTTTCGAGCTAAACTTATCTAAAAAATAACTACAGAAACAAGCTGAATGTTGAGAACGATTTAAGGTTGTATTTAACAAAGCTTGAGCCAAACATTGAGCAACTTTGTAAAAATAAGGCAAGCTCATCCTTCTCATTAATGTTTTGTAATGCATTTCAAATATATTTTTAAATGAATCGTGTTTTTAATTAACCCCTCCTCCACCCACCCACATGCCCCGATAAACCCCATCCCCCATAACAAGGGGGTACGCAAAATTTTAATTTTTTATTAAGGGGTACAGTCTTTGAAAAAGATTGAGAACCCCTGCATTAGATCAAAGAACCCACCCCTAAATTGAGATTTTGTTTTATTGATTGGAAATAGAAAAGAAGGTTTCTATATCAATTTTAGACCAGTGGTTTCCAACCTATGGGTCGTGACCCCCCCCAAGAAGGTATTAAAGTTTTTTTTATGAAGTCGCCACGTTATCTTTACTTTAAATTCCAGTTATGAAATGCACTATGAAAGATGAAGATATCAAGGATAATAAAAATATGTTCATTGAAACTTGAGGACTGTAGTGAACAAATGTCTGTAGGGTTTGTTCAGATAAAGCACCAGTCAGGCTTTCAAACAAAAATGAAAGAATTTTCACATCAAACAACGAACATTCTCTACACTTTATTATCTGATCCAAATTGTGAATTATATCTGGAGCCATCCTACTTGTTTGTTTACAGAACTTTGTAAAGGCATGCATTTTGATCATAAGATTCTTCTTTTCTATACTATATGCTGGTTGTTGAAATAACAGATAAACATTTGATTGTTTACAAATGGAAGAAAATAATTTTTTACTTAGCAGACTTCTAGACTAGCTAAAAAAAAGAAAAAAAAATGCATATTATCCAGTTTCAAGACAAGTTTCATGCATTTGTATCCAAGCTCCAAAATTGGCATCGGAAAGTAAATCTTGGAAAGAAAACTATATTTGAAGAACTCAACCGTGTGGTAGTTGAATCTTATGATAAACTGGATAATAATGTCAAGAAAAATTACTGGGAACAATGGTTCACTTGAAAAAAGAAAATTTAGCGGTACTTTTTCAAGCAGAAAAAGAGTTGGAGTGGGTTTTAAACACTTCTTCATACTAAAAGAGGTCCACATGAGGTTGGTTTTAACAAACACATACACATTTTGAAGTTAGTTACCTAAATGCATAACCATCGCATTTAATATTGAAAATAGTTTAATCGTAAACCCACAATTTTTCTTATTTTACCAGTAACCAACTTTATGTCCCAACATCATATACTTAACCAATGGGAGAGTTACTTCTTCTCACCCTCTTAGCAGATCTGACATTGAATTGTGTTTTGTTAAGGAAGGTCTTACACTCATTATAACCCTTATTCATCTGGATACCAGGCTGCTATCTGTTAATGCAGATACTTCTATATTCGCAACTCGCAGATACCTTACCTAAGAAGCTTTGAATTAATGTTTTACAACTAACCAGTCCATCTGATCTGATCGTTCCCTCCTCGTCAATCGATACAGTTTTATTAAATTATCCATCTCAGCTACCCACACATTTTGAAGAGGTTGTACCTAGATATTTTTGTGCCCCTGACTGGTGAGTTGACCATATTTAGTTGGACTAATGGAGTTGATATTTGTTGTATTACCAACGTTTTCTCCTACCCACATATCTTTTCTATAGATTTTATTAGGTATAAGGAAAAATATAAATTAAGTTTTTAAAACCATGTCATAAGCTGTGTGAATTTTTTAAAGTTATTTAAATATAGCGTCATTTTGAGACGTCATAGTATTTGTTAAGCTAATTAATTAGTTTTTAGGTATGTATCACTTTGTATTTTTTTATACTTCGTTAACATCAAAATTTTCTTACTAAAATTTATTGTAAATAAATACAATAATATTAAAAATGTGGAAATACCTCGAATAAATTACTAAAAACTTAAATTTTAAATATTTATTCTTTAAAATAAAATATACAATATTTTAAACTCAAAAGGCAACAATTTTGTGTCTAATATTTCGATAATTGTTAGAATTAGATACATATCAATAATACCAACATGGTAAAATTTTGTTAAAATGCGTTTTAATAAAATAAAGTTAGGAAAACCATAATAAAATGGTTCTTCTTTTAAAGGAGTCTGTGAAATTAACTTTAAATAAAAGTTTCCTTTGGTTGTGTCCATATTTAGGGTTCGATTATTAAATTGGTTTTGTAGAAGCACATGCCACTCTAATTCCAAGTAACTGAGCTACACCAAACTTTTACAGTAAATAAATACAATCAAATTTTAAAATTATTAAAAAATAGTCATTTACCTAACTTAGATAACCTTATCACGCTCGACTCTCCGGCCTGAGTGGGGTAGAATGTGCTATAGGTGAGTTGGCTGTAGGCGAACTGGGCGACGAACAAGATGTCGGAGCCGTGGTAAGCAACGTCGACGATGGGTAATGACAGAAACTTTGAGGCAAGAACCAGGGCTGGTACAATGCTGATGTGTAAAGACTAGGATATGGAATTGTATGGTAGCTACATTGTAACGCTAAATTTGGCACCATTCTGAAATAATAAAAAAATTGGTATATTATTAAAATAAACAAAATGCAAATTCCAAATATTATAGATATTAACTCAAAATATAGACCCTCATTTAATATATATAAACCCTAATATAAAAAGCTGCCCCCCCTCCAAAATATGGAAATTTTAGTTTATACGCAGCATGCGTATGACCACCTATTGATTTGACCGCTCAGTACTTTTTTGACCACCCTCAAAAACATAAATATTTAAAAAAATAAAGGAGGCTGTCCGCTATCCTTTCAAGTTAATATTTTTCAAAACTGCCGTCACCATAGGTTTGACCACTTTTTCATCAAGTTTGACAAGAAATTATAGAAAAACAACAATATATTTCATTATCAATATGAAGTTTTCATTACCTAATTTAATAATCTCACATAAAATAAAAATCACGTTTCAATTACATAAATAATAAACTAAAATCAAAGCCAACGCTGGCAAATGCAGGAATGCCATTTAACGTATTTCATATTTCCAAGAAAAAGATTTCGTTTGGCAACAAAAACACATTCTAACAGTCAGAAACCCGCGCAAAATATATCCTTCTATGTTTGTAAAAAATTCCGATTAAATAAATATAAGCTCAGATGGGATAAAAGAGGAAATTGCAGAGTTGCCAGGGAGCTCTTAAGTTATTCTAAAAACACTGCAGCAAACAAATACTTGACTGTGACTAGACAGAATCTGCGCCTAATCACAGGCATTCTGACTGGTCATTGCCAAGTACCTTGCAGAGGGTGCGAACAAGAAGATGAGACCATCGACCATATCCTTAACGATTGCACGACGTTCTCAGTTATTAAAAGATTTCTGTTCGGCGAGTATCGCCTAACACCGGCCGATATAAGAGAAGCACCTCTTGACGACGTTGTCAACTACATTAAATCTGTAGGATCGCTTACGAGCTAGGAGGTGCCTATCATCTCAGGAGGATGCACAGTGGGCCTAATGAGGCCTAATTGCCGTGGGAGTAACCCACCCTCCACACATTACAGATACAGATAGTATCTAAATTCTAATAAGTATGATTAGACCAAACTTAGAAAGAATATAGGAGGTAAATATAGTTGCAATTTGGAAATTGACATAGAAATTGGTAAGGTAAAATTTTTTTTTCGTCTTTTATCAATGTTATTGAAAGTAAATATGTAAATAAATAACCAACCCAGAATTAAAATCAACAAAATTAAAAGTATATAAAAAAAATTCTGAGCTAGCCATTGCAGGGTGTTTTTGGAAGTAACAAACTATCACACCATTTTTTTTATATCAAATGTCGCTTACCAACGTGGGGCTCTCAGATTGAGATGTGTCAATTTTTTTTAATTTTATTTAATTTGATAGGGCATTAGGATAGACATATTGGATATATTTGAAAAGGAAACATTTAATAAAATAAAATAATTGCATTGGCGTACAATAAAATGTACTAAAAGTAGTTAATTAAATTGTGTATATAAATTTCTTATAAATTAAAATAGATAGTGTTAAGCAAAGTTTAACATGGATTTACGAGGGGGAAAAAGAATAAATGGAAAAGATGAAAAGGATAAAGAAATAAGAAAAATAGTACAAGGTGATGTGGAAGAAGTGGAAATACAGGATCTAGAAAAAACAGTTATCGAAGAAAATGATAGTGAAATATGAAAATGGATTGAATGGATAAGAAAATTAATGAAAACAATGAAATAATAGGTAAAAGGATGGGCGAAAATAGGAAGAGAAAAATCAAGAAAATAAATTATAAAGAAAGTTGAGGGAATGGTGAAAAATATTAAACATAATATGTTATGGAAAACGAAATAAAGAAGATAGAAAAGAAATTGGAAGTAGCAGTGAAATAAATAAAAAAGTCAATTTACGAAAATAAAATAGGATAGAAAAAATAGGAGAAGAATTAAGAATGGAAATGACTGGCAGAAGTATAGAAGTTAAAAATTTACAAGATAATGGATTTTAAATATTAGAAAAAAAGAAGAACTTTTGAGAAATGAAAAAGAGAAAGAAAGAGTCGAACAAAAAATTGAAGAAAAAGATTTGAGCAAAAAATAGAAGAGATAGGAATAGAAATTGAAGAAATATGTATAAGTAAACAAAGTATAGAAAAAACAAAAATTGAAGAATTAAAGAAAAATCGAGAAAGAAAAATGAAATTAAAAAACAAATCAGACAGAATGACAGAAGATACATGAAAGATAAAAGAAAAATAAATGGAGATTTTAGAAAAAAGTAATTAAGAAGACAAAGAAAGATAGGAAACAAAATGTAAAAAGGAATAAGAAATAAAGTATAAACAATATACTTATTGCCAAACAGAACACTCAAAAAATATGGCAGAGAAAAACGAAAATACGTAGGCAGATATTGGAAAAGATTATGAACAATAGCAGAGTATGGGAAAAGGAAAGAGAAAGAACTACAGTCTATTGTGAATTCTCGTTCTCGCGGCAGTTAAGCAGTAATGTCTCCGGTCACGTCTTGGATGGTGATTACTGGACCGACTAACGATTAACCATCGACATAGAATGAATGTATGATGAATGGGAAGTAAGGCATCTAAATGGTGGTACATTAGGCCATCTGCGCTGCAGTGCTGCCATGTGAACCTTAAGAGGAGGGAAATCAGACTGGACCCCAATGGAGAAAAAAAGTCAGGCAAAGAGCATACATTTTATTAGATGGACAGAAAAACATGAAAATAAAAAAGAATAGACTACGAAAAATTAATTGGAAATAGAAAATATATTGTATGTAGGATAATTCAATAACTTGATAATCAAATAATTAAGAGAATAATAAAAAAAAGATATTGATTAGAGATATTTAAAAAAAAAAACAAAAAAAATTATTGTATTCAAATGTAGAAGATTTATTTAAGAAAAAGTAATTCAGAAGAAAAAGAAAGATAGGAAACAAAATGTAAAAAGGAATGAGAAATAAAACAGTATAAACAATATTATTACGAAACAGAAGAGGGAAAAAATACGGCAGGGGAAAACGAAAATAAAACGTAAGCACATTTTGGGAAAGATTGTGTAAAATAGCAGATTATGGGAAAAAGAAAGAGTAAGAACCAAGTCGAAGTCTATTGTGAATTCCCGTTCTCGCGGCAGTTAAGCAGTAATGTCTCCGGTCACGTCTTGGATGGGTGATCACTGGACCGACTAGCGGTTAATCACTGAGGACATGGAATGAATAATTATGAATGAATGTATGATGAATGGGAAGGAGTAAGGCATCCAAATGGTGGTATATTATGACATCTGCGCTTCAATGGTGCCATGCAAACCTTAAGAGAAGGGAAAGCAAACTGGGCCCCAAGGGTGAAAAGAAAAGTCAAGAAGATGGACAGAAAACTTGAAAATAAAAAAAAAGAAGATTAAGAAAAATTAATTGGGAATAGAAAATATAATGTATATAGGATAATTCAAGAATAAAATAATTAGGAGAATATTAAAAAAGAAGAAGATATTGATTAGAGATATTTAAAAAAAAAACATAGAAAAAAGAATAATGTATTCAAATGAAGAAGATATATAATATTAAAGTAGAATAAAATAATATAGAAAAAAATAATGTGTGTTCAAGAAGAGATTATTTGGAAAAAGGAATTGAGTATAAAGTAAAAAGATTATGAAAGAAAACGGTTTATTCAGAAGGAGTAGGTATAAATAAAATATGTGTATTATGAAGTATATTATGTATGATGATTATTTATAATAAATAAAAAAATTAATGAAATAATTATGAAATAATGAAGTAAATAGGATTAAAATGAGAAACAGTGTGTAGAATGTGTAAAAATGTAATTAAAGTAATTAATTATAAATGGAGTGGATTAGAAATATTAAGAAAAGGTCAAGAACAGAAGAATTTTTAAACAAAATACTTAAAAGATGTTGGGAAACATTTGATGTGAAATATGAATTTTCTTTTAAGTACCTAACTGAAGTTAGCCATTTTATTTCGATATATAATTATAGCTAAAATTCGTTTTAAAATGGAGTTAAATAATTTGAATTTAAATTGAAATTTTGTAAAATATATTGAATTTGTTTTTGATGCTTTTGTAACTCTAAGAATGTTGAATATGAGTGAACGTGGAATGTCACCTATCAATAATTTATATAAAGTATAGAAATATACATATTTTATTAAATCATTGATTTTGCGAAATAAATTAGTTAAATACAAAATTTGGGGGATTTTGAAGTGAAAAATTAATGAAAATATGAAAAAATCAATATTTCAGGGGAAAGTCAATTAAGTCAGATTAAGAAAATGTTAGAATTTATGTATGGAATTAAAAATTGAATTGGGAAATATTGATTGTAGAGGAAATTGTTATTTTTCAAAGATTTAATAAATAGAATCTGAAACGGTAATTTCAGTATTACTAATTTTTCTACATACCGAATGGAGTACTGATAATTGGATTGGCATGTAAAAGTAAATAACGAACAGACAGAGCTGACAGCAAGAAGAGACAAGTTAGATTCAAATTAACAAATTTTATATATTTTTTTAGTATCTTAATTCTAATAAGTGTGATCCGACCAAACATAGAATGAATATAGAGCTAATCAAGCATGTTCGCATTTAATTGCATAAAAAGTATCACTCAAATGTAATGTGGTTATAAAGTACGAAATATATAGTTAAAATAAATCAGTAAAAAGAAGCTTTAATTTCTACATTCCACGACAATTTATCCATCAATTTATCACCGAGATTCTACAAGATTCACCAAAAAATATAGTCCACAATTCTACCCTCTAAACAGGAAAGAACCCTTAACGCAGGTAGTGAAAATTTAAGAAAACACACCGCTAGCCTACTTCAGTTGACCACCCCCTAAAATTATTATAATACGCTCAAAGTGAGTAACAATTCGAAAAATACAATTTCCAAATCGTAATGTTCACTCTACAGGAAGACACAATTAAGATCTAAACAGGTTTAGAACTATATCTCAACGTTTGAACATCCCCAAAGAGTGAAAATTAAAAATATACAATTTAAAAATCTAATTTTGATTTGCAAAAAATCGTTAATTAACAGTAAGGTGCAATAAAGATAAAAAGGTTTAGAATTATGTTTTGACAATTGACCTTAGCCCTTATTTTTTTTAAATACTTATATTTCTGAAGTTACTGGGTGGTAAAAAAAAAACAAATTAATAGATTATTACTGGACAGTCAAAAATGTAACACAGCTGCACATTTAATATCATGTTGCTTTCAATATTTAAGATCCAAAGCTGAATTTGCAACCACTTATGATTACTGAAAGTAATTAATTGTTGTTAATTAACATTATCTGATCTATTTATTGACCAAAATATTAACGTGTTTGCAAGATCGCCTTAAATGTCTGTGAAAATTTTCAATATTTTCCGATGATGGCACGATTTGTATTCATCTAAAAATTATTCGGCAAAATAGTAACATGTGCAAATATTAATGACGGCTATTTGCAACAAACGAAACTAGAAATAATACAAATTTCCAAAATATTTAATAATGTTAGTTTCGCTAGTTTCATTTCCCAGAAATATCTTCAGTTTTATAAATAAAGTTTTCCAAACCATTATACGTTTTTTTTTATGTCATCGGCTTTAACCCGCTGGTTATTTCGACTCGAGTTCTGTGCAGACTTTATTACTGTTTCCCAGCGCCACTTTAGGAACAGCACTGTTAATTAGAACCCAACAGTGAATGGTCGAGTGGGGAACCCTACCAAGGCACCAGAATTAATTTTAAATAATTAAATTAAATGAAGAAATCCCAGCCAACGGTGGGATTCGAACCTAAGACCCTTGGATCCGCAGGCAAAGACTCTATCACTGAGCCACCCACCACCCTATTATACGGTTTATTTTTTGTTCCGTTTTCACTAATGTTAATATATTGATTTTCAATATAATGTCATCCTAATGCATTTCTATAAAATGTCATTTGATGGAATACATTTCCGAACACATGTGATTCGATAAAATATATTTCCGATCAAATTTCCAAAATGATTAATTGTGCCACTCTAAACACTAACCCCTTAAAATTAACCCCCAAAGTTGACCTTCCAATAAAAAATCAACTTTTTAATTAACGTCTGTAGGTATTTGGGCCACTAAAATAAGCTTAGACTTTTCTAAACTTTCAATGTAATGATCCAATTAATTCTGATAATAATTGTACATTATTATAAGTTGACTCTAATTTATCTAATATTAAATAATAATACATATTTGACTAACAGGATAAATGAAAAGTATAGTAGAATAATTATAGAAACAAATTATAATAATATTAATAATAATAATATAATAATTTACCTTGCTTCCGTAAGACTATGTATTTCTCGAAAAGCTGAAAAAATTAAATTTAATTAATAAAATAGATATATTTTTAATATTGATGTTATTATTACTATTCATAAAGCCCCCCACAGACTTCGTTCTTTTTCATCCGTTCGTATCGCCGCGATTCGGAACGTCGCGTTGAATCGCCGAACATTTTTGCCCACACACTACAATCATAGTCAATATTTGATCGTCCTTCTCTCAACCTAGTTTAATACTACGTCATGAAAAAGAAGCACTTGTTAGCAGTGGCGGCGGCAGTAGCCGTTTTAAGCAAAGTAAATTAAAAAAACGAAGATCAATTTGGGTCAAAGAATGGCTTTTGCAGCGAAGAACGTATTCGCATATTAATTTATTAGGTAAATTAATTAAGTTTCTTGATCACTCAAAAATATTAACTATTGAAAATACCTCAAATTTGGTTGATAAATGTCATCTGTCCCTGCTCCTGATCTTTGAGACTCTTTAATTTTTTTTATTTCTTTTCTAAAGGAGAATCTATTGTGTTTTTTACAGTTTGTGTTGTTACATTTTTATCTATTTCTTTGTATTTCTTTAATAACACTGCATATGCTTCATTCTTCTCATATCGATCTCTGTATTCTACAGATTTTACACGCCACAGGCAAGGGAATAGTTTGTATTTTTCAATAAAATCAATAAGAAATTGTTTATATGTTTCTCTGTGGTCCATGGTAAATAATGAAATAAAAATAAAGCGAATTAAACAAGAATGAACTTGACTTCGCTACCCTTTATGCGCTACTGTATTAAAACTGACGATTGTAAACGAAATCCCCACACACTGTCGGTTTCGAACGATAACGGACGAACTGTCGTTCCAAAAATCAAGGGCCAGCAGATATTTTAATCGACGATGCGACACGATGGTTTTTTACCACACACATCAGTTTTTGGGGTTTTTGACACGTCGTTCCGAATCGCAGCGATACGAACGGATGAAAAAGAACGAAGTCTGTGGGGAGGCTTTAGGGAAGTATTTGTAAACATTTTTCTAACTACTAATTTCTTGTAAGTAGGTATTGTTTTAAAACAACACATCAACAATTTATTACTCTTTAGAGGACAGAGCATTGAGATTAATTTATAAAAATTATAACTATTGATTCCAATACCACCGCAATTGTCGCATGTATTGGTGTGAGTAGACGTGTTTATTTTTGTGCCACTATTTTAGCTAAAACTTTGAGAAAAAGTGCACTTAAAAAGTTATAACTTAAAAATATTATCGTACTGCATAATTTTCGTTGATTTTGGTAATGTCAACTACAAGGGATTAGATATCTAAAGAGGACGTAGATCAACTACATCTAGCAATTACGGCTGCTGAAAATAAACTATGTACGTCAGAATATTTTATCACTCAGCTAAGTGATGAAATTTTTAAGTCTGTTAAAGAAAAAATTTACAAGGAAATTGTAACTCTAAAACAAAAAACTGATAAGCTAGAAGTGACTATCTTGAGGCAGGATGAAATAATTAAGTAAACTGATAAGCTAGAAGTGACTATCTTGAGGCAGGATGAAATAATTAAGTCCATGATCTCTCTGTATCTGTAACGTGTGTGGTGTGGGTTAACCCACGTCACTTGGGCCTAACTAGGCCCAATGTGCATCCTCCTAAGTAGATAGGCACCTCTTAGCTCGTAAACCAGCCTACAGATTTAATGTAGATGACAACGTCGCCAAAAGGTGCTTCTCTTATATCTGCCGGTAGAGGATATGCTCGATGATCTCATCTGCCAACTTCATGACATGGATATGCTTCCGTAGTTGGCAGTGTCCAGTCAGAATGCCTATAATCAGGCGTAGATTCTGTCTACTCATAGTCAAGTATTTGTTTGCTGTAGTGTTGTCAGGATAACTAAGTATGAACTATAGTATGAAATAAAATTATATTAAAGATTGTTCAGTTGATATAATTAATAATTTCAACAATAAAATGAAATTAAATATAGATGATTCAGACACTAAACGATGCTTTAGGGTTGGAAAACCTAGCACAGGAAAATGCAGGCCTCTGTTAGTAAAATTATTTAATGGTTATCATCCAAGCGTAGTGTTTCAAAATAAAAAAATGCTTCAAGGTTTTAAAATTGTGATTCGAGAATACCTGATGGCAGAGCAATCGAAGCTATTAAAGATTGAAAAAATGGAAAAGCTTGGACGAAGTTTGGTGCTATATTCCTTAAATTTACAAACGATAATTATTTCTTCTAGAGATTTAGCTAGAATATATTATGTTAGTGTCAATTCTTGTTCATAAATTATTTTACTGGGTCTATATTTTTTTGGGAAATTATATGTTTTAGATAACCTCCCGAGCCATATCTCAATTTTTGTACAGAAAAGAACATCCATATAGAATCCCTTCCACCACACACTTAGCATCATCTCCAGCTTCTGGATTTGACCTTCTTCAGTCCCCTTAAGAATTCTCTTTACCAGATATATGATCTTTACTTGTCCACTACAAGACATAAAAAAATAATAAAATAGAATGTAGCCTATCTTCTTAATAAAGCTTTTATGAGAGTTGCTACAATGGAAAAGGCAGTTTCTGATTTTCGCACTCCTGGAATATTTTTCTAAAGATTACAGTCCTAATAATGAAATAAGAGAGTTCATAATTGGACGAACCTCGAAACCAGAAACGCCTACAACAACCAATTCTAAGTCATACACGAGTCATATACGAGTACATTAATAGATTCATCACCTGCTCAAAACCCTAAGCCATTTTTATCTACGGATAACTCTTTTTCGGCTATAGCGCCAATACCTAAAAGTACAGTTAGAAAATATGTGAAAATTCAATCTGGGAAGAACCAACAATCGGAAATACAAGCAGAAATAAAATAAAATTTTTGTTGCTTTAGTACTCGTAATTAAATTGACTTCATATAGTTTTATTTAACTTAACAAATTATTTATAATTATAGACGAAATAAAAAAAGAAATGCTACTATTTATTGATTCTACACAAGAATAACCCATTTTAATGTATGTTTAATGTCAATAACTGAAAAATATACTGACTATTAGTTTGACAGAATTGTCACTTATTTAAACATTTTAAAAATAATAGTCGTTTGATGAAAATATGAACGGTGATTGGTGGATTTCATTTTTTGCAGTGTTCTCACTACCTACAACGGATATGAAATATATTCGTTCAGTTGAAGGCAATAGCATAATTTTTCGTTTTGTAATCTGTGTGTAGATAAGCTAATATCCATGTGGATGTAAAAGAAAAAAATATTGCACCAGTATGCACTCCTAAGGCACTAATATGTATCATCAATAAAACTTTTTCCACCCTCTCCCTTCACTAGTTACAGCAATTTATTTACTGTGAAGTTAGCCCCCCAATGAAGTTATCACACAAAAACTATTGCATCGGTAAGCACTCCTGATACACTGATATGCACCAACATTAAAACTTTTTGTACCTCCTCCCTTTAGTAGTTACAGCATTTTTTTTATCGTGAAGGTAAAGTTACAGCAATTTTTTTATTGTGAAGTTAAACCCTCCTAGTGATATTTGCACAAAAAATCTATGGTACCGATATGGATACATCATTTTGACATTTTTAGCTCACTATAAATTTGGCCAGTACTGAAGTGAAGGGATGCAAAAAAAATCATTAGTCGTACAAATGAGTGCATGTCGGTGCAATTTTTTTTTTGCAAAAATATTCGGTGGAGCTAATTTAACGGTAAATAAACAGCTATAACTACTAAAGGGAAGAGGTGCAAAATGTTTTATTGGTGGTACACATCAGGAGTACATATCAGTGCAATATTTTTTTGCGAAAACTTCACGGTAAAGAAACAGCTATAACTACTTAAGGGAGGGGGTGCAAAAAGTTATACTAATGGTAAATATTAGTGCATTGTACGGGCTAACTGGTGTATTGCAGTAAATCATAAAAATATCACTGGAGGAGGGCAGCGTTTATCCCCCACACATAGAGAAAGTGGTGCAAAAAAATAATTACTGGTGCAAAATAATTACTGGTGCAAAATAATTACTGGAGCATATTGGTGCATCACTAATGCAAAATTTATTTTTTTTTTTTTTAATTTCACTAAAGTGCTGATTGAAACTTATGTGATATTTGTTTATTTTTCTAAAGTTGTCACCTCTTTGTTTAAAAGTATACCTTTTATTACAATTTCATAGAATGTGCTATGTATATCCTTAAAGAATGTTCTTGGTCGCGAGTCAAATGTATTTGCAAAGAATATGAAAAGGACATCAATGTTTACTGGGAAATAATTCCTGTTTTTTTAATCTCCATTTTATACCTACTCGCATTATACAGAAATCCTTATGGTTTTATTTATAATTTGACTTCGTCTAACAAAGTTATGCATAATTTATACGATCGTCAGTCGATTTTTGGTCTGGTCTGATCGAATTGGTAATTCTCAATATTGCGCTTTCCATTCTGACAGCCGAGAAAAGTTTTCCAGACGGGCCGGTATCCAGCCAACGACTTTGACGACCGTAAAATTCCTAACCCTGGAAGTATTGACTACAATGCGTATGGTTGAGTCTTCAGTATTCATGAAGCTTCAGTTTCATTGCCGGATATTATTCCAAACATACAATAGACTTAAATGCATTTATGTGAAATCAATACATGATGAAATCATTATAGATAAGAGCTTTATTCCGTAGGTATCACGTGACCTTTATTAGATCCAGTTGCAATCTTATAGTCGGGCTATAAATTTTATACGGTTTGACTCAGCACGGTTGCTTGCTTTTTAAATTAGGAGTCGTAAAAATAACCACAATTTCGAAGTCGGGTGAAAGATTACCTCTAGTCTTCCTCAAACCATGAAATGATAATGAAATTGCATTTTGTATTTTGTTTCATTCATAGTAAATAGTTCAGTAAAGTATAAAATATCGGATTTTGTATTCATAGAGGTTTAATAGAATGTCCAAAGTTTGTAAATTAAAAGTATTCAATAT